CAAGGGATTAGCAGTTCAAATTGTTCTATTTCCATGGTTCTCTTTTTCTTTTTGAGAAATTGTAAAAAATATACTAATTTTTTAAGATTATTAAAAATAAATTTCAAAAGTTTTAAAAGTTCATCCACATCTCTTTTATCCACTGTTTATATTCTTCCATTCTTCTCTTTGTGGAAGAGAACATTGGCTGCCTATTACAAAAATGCCCTTGAAGACGAATCATTGAAATTTTCTATACCTGTCTTGTGCTTAAAGTTACGACACAAGCGTTGTCAATTCGTCTCAGAATCAGCCGAGTTAGGTTAGACACTAGTAATTCCCTAAAGAATTTCTTTTTCATTTTGAACTATTTTTCATGAGTCTCAAGGCTCAAAATCAATGGACAATGGGACAACTTCAGATTCAGGTCGCGAGGGCCCAAGCTAACACCGAGTTCTCTTCTAAAAAATACTGATCCAAACCCACAACAAAACAATTACCTATTTTTAACATCCAAATATTTTTTTGTGGACATCATATTATAATCATTATCCGAGCCTTTATCCCAACTATTTAGAATTGGCTATTCATGATAAGGATGTGGCAAGATTTTTGCCACTAACTGCTGACCTAACACAACACTATGAGACTTGAGGTGGCGAAATTATATTTTCTACACAGGGAACTAATTAAAACCCTATATGGACCATGGGCTGTCACATGGAAATTTATACAAGGGATTGGCAGTTCAAATTGTTCTATTTCCATGGTTCTCTATTTCTTTTTGAGAATTTATAAAAAATATACTTATTTTTTAAGATTATTAGAAATAAAATTCAAAAATTTTAAAAATTCATCCACATCTCTTTTATCCACTGTTTATAGTTTTTGACAAAAATACCCTTCATTGTAGTCCTTGATCTGTGAAGGCATCACAGTCAATCCAGAAACGTGTGATGGTCGTCATGAAAAGACCGTGATGCTCTTAAAGTTCCACTACCCAAATAAGTATAACTGTGTTTCAAAGGCCATAATGGTCAAGAGAGGCATCATGATACTTTACATACTGTGATGATTTTAAAGTTTCAGTACACTCAGAACCATATTTGTATTTAAAGTATTGTGATGGTCAATGGAGACATCACAATGTTTAAAATACCCTGATATTCTATATTCTCCAGTAACCTAATAATTATCATGGTGTTTGAAATTCCATCACAATTCTAGGTCGACCACAATACTTCCATCATGATTCTAGGTCAACCACAATACTTCTATCATGATTCTAGGTCGACCACGATACCTTCACGGATCTATGACTACCGTAAAGGGTATTTTCATCAAAAAAATATAAACAATGGAGAAAAGAAGTATGGATGAGGTTTAAAAAATTTAAAAAAAAAAAGTATATTTTTTATAACTACCCTTTTCTAAGACTCAATTCTCTTGTTTAGAAAGAGAATCAATTCCTTCCATAAATTGACGATGAAGAGCTGCCAAAATAAAGATCAAGAAAATACTTTTTCCAGTAAAATAAACTATAAAACAAATAATTGAATCAGCTTTCACTCTAATCAGGAGGATTGGGCATGGAAGTAAAAAACAAACGAAGTAGAAGTTAAATTGCCTTTTTGGTGGGTAATTTCAATTTTTCTGAAAAAGGACTAAACTATTATCCCACTTATAAGACATAAAAAGCCCATCAATTCAAGGAAAATGACCATACTGCCCTTCCTTTTTTAATTGTAAAGCTTGTGTTAGGAGTAGTTGACCAATATTCACTTCAATGAGGGCCAGAACTCAGCAGATCAACATGAGAAGACCAAACTGCCACCAATTTATTGTTGAGACCTACACATGTTGGGGTGCCAATCAAACCGGAGGCACCGACCCAATCTGGGTCCAAGTATGGGTTCAAAAATTGAACCCAACAGGTTAGGTTCGGGTCCAAAAAAACTATTCGGGTATGGACCCAAGAACATTTTTTTAGGGCCTAACATGTGAAATATATTTAAATATATAGATATTTTAAGTTTTGGGTAGGGGCGGGGCCGGCATTGTTGCCACCACCATACAGCTGTCCGTGATTTTTAGAAAAGACAATCCCTTCTCTCACTTATTGTTGCCATTATTTTGAAGTAACAAAAGTACTAATGATTTTTCAAGGACATCTCCTGATTGATCCCTTTTTATTCTCTATTTGAAGTTGCGATTGGACCTGCTCATTAATAACAATCTCTTCGATGTATTTTTTATGTACGTGTTGGCGTTATATTAGATTTGAATTAGATTTCAGATCAATCTATATTTTGATTGAGGGATGCTGGGATAGATTTTAGTGATGTATGAGCATGAAAACTGAAGGAATTATGTTTCTTCATAGGATAAGGCATCTAAAATCGAGCATTGAGGTTCCAAAAGTGGCATCATATGCAAGATTTGAAAGGTTCAGATCATATGTAGGACTCCCAAGTTTGTAGATCTACTGAATACTAGATACCATATAAGGTGTTGGCGCATTGGATTGAATGGATGAAAGATGAGAACGGTAAGAATCAGAGTGTTAGTTCATTATATGCACAATTTCAGTGGGATTGTATACTATCGAGTGTAAGACCATTTGCCTAGCACGAGGAAATCACAAGTCACTCTTGCCTGTTAGATGTAAAATTTGATAGTTGTGCAATAAAATTAAAAAAAAATTTCTTTATAATCTTGAGCCAAATAATGACACATTTTCAGCCATGAGAGTTTTCATCTAGTGGCTTATAGTGATTGTAATCACCTTATATCTTATTTTATACTTTTCCATTTTCGGTAGGAAGGCGCAATTTGATGCATATGATCATAATTACAGTATAGTCATAAGGGTCATCATTGTCCATGAATAGGCCAGACAATTCATCAAAGATGTGACTAATTCTACACCCTTCTCTCTCCATCATGGCCCAGCCCAATGACTGGGTAGAACCATACTGTAACCCTGATCAAATGGTTCATCGGATACTTCTTTCTTTCTTAATTCAGGAGTTCAACACTCTAAATTGTACCTCGCACCATCCAACGATGACAAAAGAGTTTCACTTTTTATTTTTAAACAGATTATATTTATTTAAAGGGTGTGGTTTATGTAAGGCTGAGGCCCTAAACAATCAAAGTAAGACACTTTCAAATGGTGTAAAGATGTTTTCAATATGGAAATCTTTGCGATGGCTTTAAAATTTATTTTCATATTTGATTATAAAATTTAAAGCTTCAAAAACAATATAGATCAAACAGATCTACGAACACTTAAAAATTTTGAAAATTGATGGTCCAAAAATGCATTACAAGATACACTATTTTCAAGACTTAAATTTGCCATTTTTTTCATTCTATACATCTTGAGGTCAAAATGGTCAATTTAAGGATTTTTGGACATCAAAACAATACTTCTTAGTGAAATTTTGATGTGCGCCTTAATTTGATTGTTTAAATCTTAGCTCTTATATAAATTTTTTCCTTATTTGAGACATAAATATATTTCTAATTGGCATATTAAATAAAATCAATAACCACAATATACTAATATTTTTGGGCATTTAATTAATTTCATTCAAAAGATAACCAGAATATAGCCCATTTCTTGTTCAAAATATCTTTTTGTTGTTTTAATTATAAGTTCATATAACAGTAAATCTACACCCCTAATTAGATAAATTTTTAATAAAGAGTTAAAAATAAAAGATCAAACCATTTTATAGCCATTAGATGCGGCCCTAATCAACCCACAAGAGGTGGATTGGAAACTTTCCTAATGGTAATTTGATCACTCTTAAAAGACGAGCCATGAACGAAAGATTTTAGATAAATTTACAAAATAGATGTGCATACCTTGATGCCAATTGTTACAAAAGAGGCATTAGATACTCCTGTCTTTAAAGATGTCATGTCAAATTAGATGGCTTTGGGTATGTTACCAACATTTGAGAAAAAAAATTTGAACTTCAAATCTAATCAATCACATTCTTACAACTACTCAGATTTGAAATTTGATATTTGATAGACAAGAATAGTCAATCACATTCTTACAACTACTCGATTTGAAATTTGATATTTGATAGACTAGAAATGTCAATCACATTCTTACGACTCCATTTGAAATTTGATGAACAAGAATACTTGTGACCTCCTTGTAACGCATATATATGTTTTTAAAATAATTTTCCATTACAAAATTGGGAAGATCAATTTGGAGGCATACAAAGCTCCGCATCCCAAGTGTGAGAGAGATACAGCTCATGAAGTCACCCCCAAGTTTGTACTTTAAGAAAGAAGAGACTTTCATGATCCACAAGGGTGGCGAGAGAGAGAGAGAGCGAGAGAGAGAGATGAAGGGTAAAAGATACACCCATTTTTCAACAGGGTTCAGTTACGGCAGTGAAAAAGAAAATGTACAGTAACAACTCACAACACTAAACTGTTCATGGGATTAGTAACTTAGTATTAATACATGCTGATCCTCTCAAAGGTACAGCACATTTGCAAACCCTCAAACCCTTGGGCCAAGCCCAGAGAGAGAGAGAGCCAGAGAGAGATTCCTGATTCCCCAAGACTGCCAATCCCAGGATCCATAGAGAGAGAGAGAGAGAGAGAGAGAGAGCTCTTGATCCCCCAGATCTACCAATCCCATATTCCAACCTCTCCATAACCTAGAGAGAGAGAGAGCTCCTGATCCCTCAGTCCCCCAAATCCAGGTTCCCAACAATTCCAACATCTCTCCTAAACCTTCTTTCCCACACTAAAATAAAAAACTAAATCACATCAAGCCAATGGCCTTACCCAACTAATGCAGATATGGTGACTGGTACTGATAGCCATTCCCATAATAGCTACCATGGTTTGGAGATATATTATACGAACCTAACGTACCCAACAAAGGGGACCCGTGATTCTCAGGTGCGTATAGATAAGGCCTCTGAAGAGTAGATTGGGCATATAGATCCTGACCAGGCCTATCATATGTACCATATGGGTACCTCTCCGGGGCTCTGTAGAATACCTTTTCTTGTACAGTTGGGCGAGGGGCGTAGCTTATTCCATTAGCTCGAGGTCTTTTGGATTGCGGCTTTGAAGCCTCTACTGCTCTTCTCTTGTCAGCCTTGGCCTTCTCTAATTGGGCGATTCGCTTTTGGAGAGGGTCGATGGGGTACTGCTCCTCGAGCTTGTGTTCCTCGATGCACTTGATCACGGCCTTGAGAGCAGACAATTCTCTCTCACTAGCTTCATTCTGCAATAATAAGAAAACAGGTGCACATGTAAGGGGAGAGAGATGGGAATGAAGATAGATCAAACTGCTCGACTGCTCTTGGAATGCATGCATGCAAGGTCAGAGAACAAGCATACAGAACTACCAAATAGATCAATTCCCATAGTGTGAATCTCCTAAACAATCAAATCCGCTCTTTCCCAAATTCTCTCACTGGCTTTGTTGTGCAGCAACTACCAGAGTGTGCAAGTGAAGAGAGAGAAACAGGAGTACAAGTGCTAACCTATGGCACACATGTACATCAACATATTCAAACATGTGTTGTGTGCATAAATAACAACTTCACTGATTCCAATCATGTAAATATCATAAATGCATAGACCATATGGCTGTCCCCCAAACTGCCTTAGACTTACCTAACAACTGCAGCAAACCACAAATGACGGATATCCCTAAATATAATAGGGTTACGTAGCACCCTAACATAACCCATATATATATATAAACAAATGCCAAAGAATCCATAGAACCACACTCAAACTAGCATTATATGATAAGCCTGCTACAATTTGAGAGATAAGTTATCAATGAGATTATTTATCCCCTAAGCCAGGAGATCAACAAACTAGTAATACAAATGAGAAACAGCATACCCATTCACAGGCTGTGCATGATAACTAGCCAGGGCATCCACCTTCAGTTACTCTGCAATGATGGTGAAGATTGACCGTATCCATTATTTTATGGCCATTTTTTACCTCCACAGTAAGCCTGTGGCCATGTCAAATACGGTAATGCCCATGTCACAGCTAGTCAATGACTCTCCATGTGGAGGAGAGCAAGCTACTTCAACAAACAAAACAAAAACAGATAAGAAGGAAGAAGAAACTTTCATGGCACGCGGAGACTTTGTAGAAATCAAGCACCAACAACCAGTATAGGTCTCACAAAGCAGGCTCTAATTGGAATCCCAAAAATACATTTGGAAGGCAGCAAACTAGTTCTGAATCCATAACGACATTTTGGCTATGAGGAACAGTCTTAGGCCCCGTTTGGATAGCCAAACAACAACAAGAACGAAGAGGTCGTTTTTATACGAGAGAAGAGAGATTTTTTTGGGCAGGCTCAGGGACATATTCGCAGTACTTTGTGGATAAGCGGTGTAACAAAAGTCAGTCACCACTCACAATGGAGAGGACTAAGCTGGGCATATTTCTCTCCTAAATGAGTGGACGAAAACAAATGTTTTCATGTTCCCAAAATTTGGTCCATCCAAATGGACTTTTAGGTTTGAACCCTTGGACTCCCCCCCTATAAGAACCAGGTGCCATTGGACCAAATGTAACAAACTAGTCATTTGAGGACCTTCTAGCTATTGGATTTGAAGGCGTAATGATTTCCTTTCCAACTATGCGTGAAGTTATGGAATGAAAGACAAGATACAAGGTATTAATCCATCTGGTTTTGGTCGGGGTAATTAATCTCAATTTGATGACCCAGTCAATTATCAAAACAAATTTCGTTTGTCATTCAAATGAATGGCCAACTATCTTCAACTTTATGCTTTCGTAACTTACCATGTCCTAGGAAGAATTGGTCAGCTCACAGTCCAATCTGCCCCAACTAACAAAATCCAAAATTTCAAGAACTATCCTTGGTTTTCTTCCAATTTTGAAAAACAATTGCAAGCTTCTAAAATTTGTACCCCTGGGTGGAGTCCAATGGCCTAGAATTTCCTTCCGATTATATTTAAGGTACTGTACTTATCAACTACCAAGAGCACTTGACTAGACTTGACCACCAGGCAAATATTAAAAGCTTACTCTGGAAACAAGATCTTGCAATCAAACTAGGGCCTCGTCACAATACCACCTTACCAAGTACCTGCCATTCTAACAAACAAGTAACTTCATTCATTAAATAAAGCTATGGCCAAAAATATGCTAAAATGCCAAAATAAGCTAGATTATACCAGAATGCCGAAATATAAACAAAGTCACAAAGCAATGTCCAAATATGCGAAAATTATCATCGGTACAATTACCAATTACATCACAAACAAACCATTGAACTGAAAACACAATGATTAAATCCAGTTCCTCCATATGTATTGTATCCAGTACCATCAGGGATTTCATCAAGTTATCTGAATTTTAGTCAATCTATTCAACTTTTAATGATCTCCTAAATGATTCTTGACCAAGTTTGGCATCAGGTTCAGGCCCCTAAACACTTCTCCTAATCTGATGCTCTGAATTTTTATATGTCGGCAATTTTTCTAATTTCTACCTAAAACACATGAGTGAATCAAAAGACGCTGGAGGGGAGCATGTAATAAAGGTAGAAGCTTCATTCGATTTTTCTTTTCCTTTTCTTCTAATTAACAGAGGAGGGCCACAGAGGCAATATTTTCCTCTCAATAAAGTCTAATGTACTCCTCACATGTATTTGAAAGATGGTTGGTTCTAGCCAACATTTGAAAAGTTAGGTGAGTTGACATGACATGACATGCCCGAGTCAAGTTGGCTAGCCCAGGTGGCAACAATTTTAAACACCAAAAAAACCGATAAAAGGCACATATCGAAATAGTTGGATAAGTAATTTTTCATGTACATGGATAAGTAATTTTTCATGTACATATTGTGGGTGTGTGGGTGGGTTTTTGATTTCCCCCTTTCCTTGTTTTTTGTTGGGCTGCATTGGGGGGGGGGGGGGTTTTGTGGTGTAGAGTCAGAACTTAAAAAATCAATTTGGGGCTGCACATAAGTGGCATGGAACATCATGTAGAAATTTGGAAAATGTATTGGATTGATTGAAAAGTATACTTCATTGAGTTTTTTTCCTTGAAATAGTTTAACTATAGAAAGCAATGCAACAATTTCATACTCAGTTTTATATGTAACTATGGTACTGAATCTATAGAGACTGCCAATGACATATCAAAGCACTCAGAAGAAAAGTGCATTAATCATATAATAAACTAGTGCCAAAACAGCATTAATACATGTTTTCATGTCATGTATTTCCATCAATTTCAATTTTATCAAAAACAAAGAACAGTGATAAAGATGCTGCAATTTTGGGACGGTTGGAATCACGACCGAAGTTCAAGTTTTTTGAAAACTGTTCATAGTTGAAGCAGCACTGGGTGAAAATCCATCAATTTTTTTGATGTCAACTGATTTAATAATGAATAAAGCGACAAACAGCTACAAAGGGACTCCAAGAAAGAAAGTTCATGAAGCATATTAGCACTGTGTGCAAGAATGAAGAAGTGATTGGTTCAAGCAACCATTATGTATTCCCTTCCATGATATATGGACAGCTCCTCACATTGATGTTGTTGAAAGGAAGAGTAATCATGAGAACTTATGAAGCACAAATACAGGGCATGCCCTCTAAAATCTTTTGGACAATTAGATTTCTCCTAAGACAATTAGAATTCTCCTAAAACAGATGAGCATTGACGTTGGTGTTACTTGGTGATGTCTGATTCCTTCATGCTCTTGCAGGCATGGAGGGGGATAAAATGGTATCACAGAGGATCAACATGTTGGTGATCACACTACATGCAGTCATTCAGTAGATCTGGGAAAAAATAGGAACATTATAATACAATGGTTCCTATATTAATGCTGCTCAAACAAATAATGCCCAGGAGAACTTACAAAGCACAAAGACAGGACAGTGGTTCATGATCTTTTGGATAATTGGATCTCCTAAAACAGGAGTGTTGACTACGGCGTTAGTCGGGCGATTCTTTCTCCGTGCTCTTGCAGGCATGGAGGGGGATAACATGGAGTCATAAAGGGTCATCCTTTTGGTGATAACAATATATGCAGTTATCCAGTATATCTGGAAAACAAGGAACAACAATAAAACAGGGCAACTAGAAGAAGGAAGATTGCCAGAAATCATAAAGAAAGAATGATTTGGGCACTACAAAGAGCTGTTTTCCAAGGACTCACAGCCACACAAGTGATAGAGAGTTAGTCGGACCTTAAACTTCAAGTATAAGGTTCTACAATGAGAATGGCACCCTCAAATGATGAGCTGCAACCCCTGTCCCCCGGCACAAAGAATACAGCGGATAATTAAGTCCCACCTCAATGGATGAGTCAAAGCTAACCCCAACCCGTGAGTTACATGGGTCAAAGATAAAGGATCCACTAAGAATATTGAAAACACGCATGGGCCCTGATATCCATAGACAGGGACTCTCTAAATATTGGCCAGTGGAATAACAACAAGACGGAACATCCCATGAAGGCTAGAATTTATCTTTTCAGAAGCAAGAACCTCATGGGGAAGTCAAACAATGGAAAAGGTTCTCATGCATTTAGATACCATAATTCAGTTGTGGATACATCAACAAAATTGGGGTTGTCCCAGAATGACATTATTTGCTGGGGCTTATTGCCAACTTAAGGGTTTTTAATTTGCACATGAATCTATGTCTTCTAGTTGTACATGATATACTTTAAACAACAAAAAAATACTACACAAAATGGAAAAAATTACCGACTAAACAGAGAGAGGAAACCAATAAAGCTCAAAGTTATTAAATGAGACAACAAGACTACCGCTGCTTTGCAACATCCATTGGTTCTAAATTACCTATCCATGATTAGCTGTAACTTTTCTTTGCTAGATTCACACACACAAATCAATGAAACTTAGACTTTGTATCCATACACATTCGTCATGTAAATCATTGTACAATCAGATCTCCAAATCTAGAGTTTCAGAATGATCTCATCATATGGCATTATTGCCCAATACCATCAGTCAAAGTATAAGAATACATGTGGCACCTAATAATCAAGCAAATGACACAAGGAGTGGATCAACTAATTTGACCAAAGGGTACTCACTAGGGCAGCAGCAGGTGAGCTTCCACCTCTCCCCTGTGAAGATTTCCGTACTTCTTTCAGGTATGTTTTCAGCAAGGGCACAGGAGCAAATTGTTCGGTAAGATCAAATGCATATGCAAGATTGACAGCCTCAAGCTGTCTTCCAGCATTTATTAATACTTCAATCACAGCTGCATATAAAGGAAACACAGAGAGATGAATCCCAGAAAATACACACACCGCAAGGACAGTTAACAATGTATTACTTTTTCTGGCTTGATAGATATCTTACACCAACTGAACAGCAAGTATTGTGAGAGGGTTGGGTTCTCAATTATATACAGCTTCTCAAGTAAATATTACAAGAGTTGAAACACCAGCCATGACTTTATAGGACCATCACCCACAGACATTTAGAAAGATGTTAGTAGTGCTCCATAAACCAGAATAAAAATAACTTTTTATAATCTATTCCAAGTGTCTAGCATACTGAAAAACATCAAGACAACTTAACTAACGAAAAGCAATTTGTCAATTTTTGTCTCCAAGGTGCCCCTTAAAACCAGTATAAACTAACAGCTGATAATCTGTTCCAAATGGTCAGCATTCTGAAAAATATCAAAACAACATGTATAAAGCAAATTGCGTACAAGTTACAACTTAATCATGCAATGAAAGAACACATGACAAGCCAAATATTGATTCTAACTAAAAGATAAGCACAAAGGTTTTAGAGAAAAGGAAATTATGCTATAAGCCAATGGACGATGGGTAACCAAGTCATCATGATCCAATGAAATTATGGACAGCAGGACGCTGCATTGGCGTCATCTCATGCAATGGTGAGTCCCACTCACTCTCTACCACCAGAGTTTTTTTGTTGGATGGTGCTGTCCCAAATGGACCAAGGGGTAGCATACTTCCCTTTTGAAAGACCCCCAATATATAGCTAACGAAAAAAAGGAAACTGGGAAGCAAGTTTCAAGAGTAACCAGATAATATCCTAAGAAAAACCTTCCACAAGAAACATGAGAGCGCTAACCTGGCATCTTCTCTGACAAACCAAGAGCACGACATAACTCAGGAGTTTGACGACGACGACAAACAGAGGGAAGCAGCTTACAAATCTCATCCTGATCGAACTCAGAAGTTATACCAAAAGTAGCAAGAAGCTGCAAAAAAGCATGGGCTTCCAAAGAATTCCCAACATTGGCATCCATATCAAGCTCGTCAAGCTTTGGCTTCCATTCCTCTGCAATCTCCTTTGCTTTTTCTTTAACCTCTGGTAAAATAATTGGATGATCAGATATGGAACCAGAGTCAATGTCAGCCAATAAGGGAAAAAGTGACTCCATTAACATGATACAAGTTCTTCGAAGGCCCAAGAGATTGCTATCTCTCTTGCCCTCTTGACCTGATTGCTCTGAGCCATAAAACCCCTCCAAAGAGTCTAATACCAATTGGGCTGGATCAGTTGCGCACTTCAAAGCAGCTGGGACCTCTTCTCTCATAGCTGCAAGCGCCTTTCGATTTTCTGAGATGAATTTATGGAGCCCTTTTGCATCCATCTCTTCACAAAACTTCTTCAGCTGGGGCCTCGGCTCAATTCCTGGTGACCCAACTTCAGATGCCTTAGAATCAGTGGGTTTTGACTCAGGAGAAGCATCTATCATGCCATTGTTCGATTCGACAATAATGGGTTCTGGTGATTCCTTCCTGCATTTTTGAAAGGCCTCTTCAATGGCTGAAAGGGCAGCATCCCTCTGGTCTTGAACACGGTCTAATGAAGCTTCTTCTTTTGCATTGACAGCTGCTTCTCGCTTTTCAAGCATTTCCTTTGCCTCCGAAGCTCTCGCTTCAAAGGCCTTCTCCTTCTCTTCGAGCTCTTCAAACCTCTTCTTGAGTGACCTCTCGAGGTCATGAAAGTGTTCCTCAAGCGCTTTCCATTTAAGGTTCAAAGAGACAGCCCTCTGGCCTTCGAGCTCTGCAAAAGCTTTCTCGAGCTGCTGTATCTTTGAGGTAGTGGTCTCAATGAGCATAGGGACTGCCTGTGTTTCATCCATGGCAAAATGCCCTGAGAGAGAACCAAAAAAAAAAAAATCAACCATTAAAATTCTTTGAGAAAATCAAGTTAAGGTTTCCACTTTCTGGGCAGGGCTCGATCAAGCCTAAATTGAAGGCGTCTTACTAAACATGATGTAACCCAATAGAAATTTTCGAAATAATGTCAGGAATTTCGGCCATTCACTGTTTAATTGAACAATTTAACCAAAACAGTGATCAAACATCGATACTCTGCTCTAAAATAAAAACAGACAATAGTTTAAGATCCAAACGATGTCTAAAAGTGAACACTCATCCTCACTACTTGAAAACGGCCCAAGCTCATATAGAAAGACGTATAATTTCCTTGTCCTGAGAAAAATCAAAACCAAATGATTGTCCTTAAAAAGCTGAAAAAGAAATGGATTAAATTTTGGAACTTATGTTGAAACCCACATGAAAAGAACCATACATCAAATTTCATTAACACGCATCAACTAAATCATAAAACCAATTTCACTAAACAAGCCACGACAAAGAAAGAAGCATCAGATATCCAATTTCGTAGTAATCAAAGCAATAAAAAGAAAAACGAAATTCAATTAAAAAAAGAAGCAACATTTTCCTTCACAGAAAAAAAATGAAAAACAAATACATGGAAGAGCTCAAAACCTAACCATCCTAAACCCTAATCTCCAACAAATGTGAACCCCAAATCCACAAAGCCCGAAAGTGAAGAAGCTCACACCTTGATTTCAAACTAGATCCGTCTTTAAATATAACCCATCTAAAAGCCAACCAAAAAAGGCCCAAAAAAAAACCCAAAAAAATGACAGTTTAATGCCACTTTTCTCACTGCAACTGCCCATTAAACCCTAAAATCATAAACAATAACACATGTTCTGCTAAATTGGTGCAAAATAAATGAAAAACATTGCACTAATAAGAAAAAATAATGGAAAATAAACAAAAATTCTAGGGTTTGAAGAGAAACTTACAGGTCCGAATAGTGTGGGTCGGTCAGTGCTGCATAGGCAGAGTGGCGCTGAAAGGACCAAAAAGCAGTTTAATTTATAGAAGGAGAAATTACTTGAATGGCCCAATCTTTTCACGATATGATCGAAAAGTCCTTCGATGCTTTAAATAAGACTATTTTACCCTTCTGTTTTCAACCTACGACTTACCCTTTCATTTAGAGCACATAGGGCCAGGCGCGGAAGCATTTGCATTTGGTAAAGGAACTCAACTTGTTGGATGTGAGATTAGGTAGCTGAAAATGGTAGAATTTAAAATTAAAATATATATATATATATTTTAATTTAGAAACGTATCCAAAACTTTCAAATTTTATTTCTGATTACTATATGTAATTGTAATTTTTTTGTATCAAAGGTAAATGATCATATAGTATATGATTCTAATGTTTATATAAAATTTAATTAATATGTTGTCCCTTTTAAATAATCTAGATATCGGTTTTGGATCTAAAATTTTAGAAATTGTAATCTCAACCAGTATAAAACTAAAAAAGATGAAATTCAAACCTTAATTGGTCATTTGGGACTGTAAAATATGCAAATCCTTCATTTGCATATCCATGTTTTGATGGCCGAAGGTCATTTGGGTATATCTTTAGAGATCATGATATTGATGTCTTCAAAACCTCTCAAAACGAGCGTTTGCTAATTTCAAAACAAGTTTGGAATGAGCAAATACAAGGATATGGAAAAATTAGTATGCTTCCTCATTTTTTTCTCTCTCCTTCCTTAATAATGATATTATTCCATATTTATAATATTTAATATTTACTATTATTGTTGTTGTTATATTATTATTATTATTATTATTATTATTATTATTATTATTATTCTAATATTTATCATGAAATATCATCAAAATTATTAATATTATATTAAAAAATAATATCATTATATTTTTATTATAGTTTATTGTATCTTTTGGGTAAATATTATAGTATTATGTTATTATCATAAGATATTAATATTGTATTATATGAATATGAAAATATTATATATATTTTATTATAACATTTAATAATATTATAATACTGATAAACTTAAACTAAATTATTATATAATTATTATAATTATGATATTATTAAATAATTATCATATTTATGCGTATTATTATTATTATTACTACTAGTACTACTAATGTTAAATTAGTATTTAAAATATTTTTGGAAACAATGATCATTTAAATATACTACTACTATTATTATTATATTAATAGATACTGCTACTACTACTTATGTTATTGTTGTTGCTGATGCCTACTACTAATACTACTACTATTATATTATTATTATTATTATTATTTGATTTTTTTTGAAATAGTGACCATTTAAAGCTACTAATAAAATAAT